AGTTCGTGCTCTGGGTTCTCTCAGAAACTCTGGGGAGGAGGCTCCTCTGTGGTGTTAGAACAATGCTTTCCAGTTACAGGAGGCCTCCACTTTGGAAATGAGTGGTGACAAAGCCCACGGACGTTCACACACTTTAAAAATTGGTTTGTGACACCACTGCACCGACATTTGTGATCAGCGGAAAGAAATCGAAATTTTGAATTGCTTGACAACAAATGCTGAGGCCACGACAGTCAGTTACAGCCAGCCAGCCATCACCTCTAGAAGGTTCCAGAGACGGTGAAACTGCGGAGATGCTCTAAATGGGACTGTGTCTCATGGATACCCAGAAGAAATTCCTTTCTCTGAGGGTGAAATGCAGAGTCAGATAAGAAATAACACTGCTGGGTTTCTAAACTCTGCCTGCCCTCCTCCACGTCACCTCCATCCCCTGCGTGCCACCCAGGAAGGTAGAAACCCTTTGCCTACAACTTTGGCGGGAGGTTGGGGGTCCCCGTTGTGGCAAGAATCTCAACATCAGACAGGTATCCAAAAGCATGCTCTGGAATTTGCAGAGGAGTAAAAACACCCCGCCTCATTTACCTTTCCAAATTCTCCCAATTTCCAAGCGAGGAAGAGGGCAGTTGTTTACCGATGGAAAAGGTATGTTGTTATGTTGCTGTGTAAGTGAATCAGGTGTGTGCATTGATGGGAAAGTATTGATGGGAGCATCTGACAGTTTCTAAAACCCACAGGCTGTGAGCAGCTAGAGATGGCTGGCTCTGGCCCAACATGGCCCCTAAATCAGCAGACAACAGCACTGTCAAAGAGCAACTTGTTAATAATTCATGTTAAAAAAATCAAGATTTGGCTTGGATTTAAATCATTTGCAAAATGAAGTTGATTGATCCTATTTTCCAGAAACAGACGTGAGTTGATCATCCCAAAACGTCATCATTAGCACCTACCACACAATTTCACTGATTCTGTTTTTCTTTCTTCGTGAAGTTGTGCACCGAGACTTCTAGGCAGAGCTGAGAGATATCATAAGGAATCTATCCCCCAAAAAGCATGTGTGTGGATGCAAATATATTTCTCCTTGGCTTTTCAACATACTCACAAATATTATTAGCTGCCTGAAACTCCCACTATGTCTGGGAACCATTCCACTCCTTCAAGTCTTTCTGAATCTGTTGTCATCAGTAAGCCTTATAATCACTTTCTAAACATTGGGCTTCAACACCCGAGGATAAAATCAGAAGCCATCATTTAGGGCCTCCTGCACCAGCCTGTTCAAAATTACCTCCCCCTCCACCTTTCCACAGCTCTTAAAATTCCACTGCCAAAACCCTTAAATCTTTTCAGGAACAAAGCAGAATATAAAATAAACACAAACTTAGTGCTTTGGGCTGTGGTTGCCAAAGATCCTTCCAAAACCCATCAAGCCAGCCTCATTCTTTCGCCTTACTTAGAACAGATTCATAGGACCTGGCAGGCATTCCATGCACACCAATGCTGGTAGCCATGGCAGACATTGCTAATCAATCACAGCACTATTTTCCATGGAGCCCAATGATTCCTTTACAATCTTCAAGTCACAGTTCCACAAACTCACCACTCATCAGTCACGATTGAGAAATAAAAGAATCCTAATTGCCATCCCAACTTTAGAAAGCAAAAGCAAGCAGGGATTGTGTGAGGGAGTGGGGAAACCTTTGGGCATAAAAGGTACAGTCAGGGGAAAACAGATCTAGGCAGAGTGCCTTGTGGAGGGGGCCGCCCAGGCACTAAATCTACAGTGCCAAAGGCAAACTGACATTTCTCCAAGTGTACTTCAGACCCAGCCCTTCTCCCAGCCTGCCACTTTCAGAGAACCTCCCGGCTTTCTCACAGAGCTAAAATCAGAGATGGTTTCCAGGACTTACGAAAGCAACCTCCCTCCCTCGCCCCCCAACCTGGCCCATATTGTCTATTTTGAGGACATTAGGCTTCTTCTCTAGTAAAGTCCCCCCAGGAAGCAGGGGTCTTTGAAGCAGGGGTCAGAATGTCTCAGCCACCTGCAGGGACATTGCTGGACTCCAGAAAACCATTCCATAGGAGAATGGGTTCCCCAGGCTCACGGCGTAGAGACGTTGAGCCCCTGGCCACTGTTTTGACTGCTGGCGGTACAAAACAGTCCACCCCACACCACTGCCACATGGCTTGCTGCGGCCATAAGAATGTTTGAGACAAGGTGTTGACATTGTTGCGTAACAAGATGGCAGGCATCAGGTGAGAATGCCACGTTCAGGATCTCAACCGCACGTCAGTCAGAAGCCCTGTGCAGTTTCCAAGATGTTGTTTTGATGAACTTTTTGATAAAATGGGAAACTGCATATATATGATGACTTGGAAGAGGATTAGCAGGGTTTGTCCTTAAAAGGGGTTCATCACGTCATCCCTAGTCACTTACAGAATTACAGTGGAGAAGGAGAAACTTCTACGCTGTATGAACAAGGCAATGTTTTAATAGTAGGCTATTGCAGGCAGGAAAACTCTGTAACTGGTTTTTAAAATCTATCAGTACTTGTGTCATTCCCTGTAAAAGGTAGCAGACATATGATTGTGATCCGGAAACTGCACAAAATTATTTCTTCAACCCCCAGGTTACGGTCCTCGCGAAGTTGTTTTTTTTTTTTTTAATAAAAGTCAACTTTTTGTTGTATATATTCCTATTCCATGTGTTAGATGGAAGCATTTCCTACCCAGTGTGAATAAAAAGAACAGTTGTAGTAAATTATTATAAGGCCAATGATATTTCTTGGCAGGTTATTCTACCAAGCTGTGCTTGTTGGTTTTTCCCATGACTGTATTGCTTTTATAAATGTACAAATAGTTACTGAAATGACGAGACCCTTGTTTGCACAGCATTAATAAGAACCTGGAGGGGTTACCTCTGTTGACGACCAGCTCACAAACAGTTTCTGGCCTGGAGCTTGGCACGTACTCCGGGAAGGCACAAGATCTTTCTTTTACGAAGGTCGAGACCAGAGCTGGTGGACATATTAATCTGGCCGTGGGTCACCTCGTTGTAAATGTCAGCAGAATGGGCAGAGATGATCTCCAAGTCTCATGTACACGAAGGTCCGAATACTGTCTCAAATGAGGGAACTCCATCCAAGAACTAGGAAAAAAAATAACAATGAGATAATGAACAATAGGTTCAGCCCAGAGCCAACTCAATACAGAACAATTAATGCTGTGTAAAGCGGGTTGAATTAGTTTGCAAACTATATAAAGATACATGCAGTAATAAAAAGCCTATTAATGCACACCAGATGGGAACGGGGTATTCTAGTCAATCGCCTTTTCTAGTTATCTGAGCTCTATTATATTATCATACGTGGATAACCAATTTAAAAGAATTAGAATATGATTGTTTTTAAATGCACTTAACATTAAACTCTTCTAATTCTTTCTTCTATCTGTGATAATTCAGAAGACAGGATGGGTCATCAGCGCCTCTGAGTCATTGTTATAAAAATGAGTTATTGCTGTACCTGCTGGGCTAAATATGGACAATGACAAACCCTGGAAGTTGCTTTTCTTTTTAAAAAATAATAAATGTTTCAGATCAACTCTTTTCCTCATTGTCTCCTTCTTATAAAAAGTAAAGTATAGATTGTTCAAGTGCTTACCGTTCTGGTCGTAAAATGGTTATCATTCTGCAGATGAAATTACAGTTCTCAAATGGTTTGGTGCCTTCTGCTGAACGCTTTACTGTCCTGATTATTCGCATTTCTGCTTTGTCTGTCCAACATTCAACATATTCTTGATTGCTAGTAACAGTTTTAGATTTTAAAAAGTGAGCCATGGGAAAAAATGAAATAAAAAGGAGAGAGAGAGAAGCGCACAGAAAAAAAATGTACTGTATCGATTAGGATTGTGTTTGACCGTCTGTCACGGAAACGTGGCTGTGATTGACTTGGCTCACAGAGCAAGGACCGCAGAGGTTTACATCTGTTTAAGGAACCAGAAAGTGTCATAAACAGTGCTGCAATAAATTCTATCTATAGACACCTCAAAATATGATGTTACTTCTGCACTTTGTTCTTCTTAGCAGCTTCAATTCAGCTCCTCCACTATTATTTTTTTAAAGGTAAAAGAGTGTCTCTTACAAGTTCCTGAATCTGTTTCTTTACAAGTTGTCATTAAGCCTTGAATTTACCTTAATTGGAATAAAGTTGGAATAAAATCATCCACAAACAGAAAAACATGCCACAATCTCTCTCCCAGATGAATAGC